TTTAGTCTCCATTTTGAATGATAATCAGCCCTCTGTTATCTTGGAGATGGCTAATATCTACATATTCCTTGAAAATTATTATTATTTACCCTACAACCAGAGTTAATGTTCCTCAGTGGTTCTTTGCCCAAACCTTAGTCATAGGTAAGACCAAAGAACAAAGGAAGACCCTTTAAAGGTATTAATGGGAGAGTTAGATTTTTATTTTTTATTTTTTTTAAAAGATTTTATTTATTTATTTGACAGAGAGAGACCCAGCGAGAGAGGGAACACAAGCAGGGGGAGTGGGAGAGGGAGAAGCAGGCTTCCTGCTGAGGAGGGAGCGCTTATGGGGCTCGATCCCAGGACTCTGGGATCATGACCTGAGCCAAAGGCAGATGCTTAATGACTGAGCCACCCAGGCGCCCCGGGAGAGTTAGATTTTTAGATGGGCAATAATTCAAAGAGGAAATCCTTGTGGGAGCCCCTCTACCCATTTTAATTCTGTAGAATAATCTATCTAATAAGGTCAAAATTTATATCACTTAGTGATTTTAGATATTTTAATTGAGAAATTGCTTTTAGAGGGATGGTTTACTAGGCACACATTTCAAGACTGATCTAGAGAATTCTTAAGGGTTAACTTCTTTTTAGTTTTTAAAGCAATTTTAAGGGTTTTATTGTTTTTTTTTTTTCCTTAATGTAATCTCTACACCCAGCTTGGAGCTCGAACCTATAACCCAGAGATCAACAGTTGCACACTCCACCAATTGAGCCAGTCAGGCTCCCCCTTACCGGTTAACTTTTTTTTTTAAGATTTTATTTATTTATTTATGTGTCAGAGAGAGTGCACAAGCAAGGGGAGTGGCAGGCAGAGGGAGAAGCAGACTCCCCGCTGAGCTGGGAGCCTGATGTGGGACTCGATCCCAGGACCCTGGAATCATGACCTGAGCCAAAGACAGATGCTTAACCAACTGAGCCACCCAGGCGTCCCTAAGGGTTAACTTTTAATAAATGAGAAAGAATATAAGGAACAATGAAAATAATATCCAGATCGACATTCAATTTGATAAAAAGCTTTAGTATACTTTTATTCTCCCCCTTCCTACTCTAGCCACATAAAAATTGTATTAGAAATTATAAGGAGAGGGGCACATGGGTGGCTTAGTGGGTTGAGCTTCTGACTTTTGATTTTGACTCAGGTCGTGATCTCACAGTCATGGGATCGAGCCCCAAGTCGAGCTCTAAGCTCAGTGTGGAGTCTGCTTGAGATTCTCTCTCCCTCTGCCCCTACTCCTGCTTGCTCACGCCATCTCTCTCTCTCTCTCTCTCTTTCTCTCAAAATAAATAAATAAACTCTTTAAAAAAAAAGAAATTATTAGAGATGACTGGAGCCAAGACCAGGCCAGTGCTCTGCTTCTTAAAATTCTGCCCATTTGTCTCCTCAGAAGCTCACTACCTAATTTAGTCAGGGATTCTTAACTTTTGTGGTGTCATGACCCCCACTGGTAGTTTGGTGAGGCCTGTGAACCCCTTTCAGAATATTTTTATTTTTATTTTTTTTCAGAATATTGTTTTTAAATTAATAAAGTGAAATACATAGGATTGATTATAAAGGAAAGCAATTATTTTGAAATACAGTTATCAAAAATGTTTTTAAAATATTTGATAACGTAGGGGTGCCTGGGAGTCTCAGTTAAGTGCCTGACTTCAGCTCAGGTCATGATCTCAGGATCCTGGGATTGAGCCCCACATTGACTCCCCACTCAGTGGGGAGTCTGCTTGTCCCTCCTCCCCCGCCCCTCCCCTCGCTCATGTGTGCATGTGCTCGCATGCACTCTCTCTAATAAATAAATCTTTTTTAAAAATTTGAGAACGTCCGGGGCGCCTGGATGGCTCAGTTGTTAAGCATCTGCCTTTGGCTCAGGTCATGATCTCGGGGTCCTGGGATTGAGCCCCGCATCAGGCTCCCTGCTCAGCGGGAAGCCTGCTTCCTCCTCTCCCACTCCCCCACTTGTGTTCCTGCTCTCACTGTGTCTCTCTCTAGCAAATAAATAAATAAGTAAATAAATAAAATCTTTTTTAAAAATTTGATAACGTCACATGTGTGCTTTTTAATTAATGCATTAGATAACAAGTTCTAGTGGTAGGTCTTGTGACTCCCATAGTTTCAAAGTAGTGATGAGTGTAAAGGATATTTTGATATATATGATAAGATATGTGTGATTTCTATTACGAGTTAGGAATGTTAAATTTCAGAATTTAGTGAGAATAAAGATGTAATTTTTTTTCCTATCCACGTTCATGGTTATCAGGCCCTCTGAGATGCCGATGGGTGGGAAATCCCTTTGGCCACCTTCAGTTCTTTTCAGAGCCCAGCTTTTGATTGGGAAAAAATGAATAGCTCAAGGGGGGAACAGGGCAGCAGAGAAGGGAGTGCAGGCTGGGTGTGCTGCAGAGAGGAACCAGAACTAGAGGACAGATAAGACAAGTCGGGACTGTGTAGCAAAATTATAACAGAAGGGGAGTTGCCTTTTTTAAAAAAATTTTTAAAGGTTTATTTATTTATTTTTTTAGATTTTATTTATTTATTTGAGAGAGAGAGAGAGTGCACGAGAGGGGGTAGGGTCAGAGGGAGAAGCAGACTCCCCCCTGAGCAGGGAGCCCGATGTGGGACTCGATCCTGGGACTCCAGGACTCCAGGACCATGACTGAAGGCGGTCGCTTAACCAACTGAGCCACACAGGCGCCCCAGGTTTATTTATCTGAGAGAGAGAGAGAGAGCGGGAGAAGGAGAGAGAAACTCAAGCCGACTTCATGATGAGCCTGGAGCCCGAATGAGACTCAGTCTCATGACCCAGAGAGCGCACGACCTGAGCCAAAACCAAGAGTCCGCCGCTTAACCGACTGTGCCACCCAGGCGCCCCTATGTGAAGTAAAATATTAAGTGATCTTAACTAGAGTAAAACCTGTTGGAGGTTTCAAGTCTTTCTCTCAGCTCAGTTTTGAGCAGACTTGATTTTTAATATTAGAAAAGGACTTTAGCTTGAAAGTCATTCTTCTAGATTCTAGAACATTGTGCAAAAGTTTTCAGGCTACCTATATGAAATTTCCTTGAAATATATTTATAAGCATCTTTTTGAAAAAGATTGTTAGAACACTACCAATATGTTTTGAAATTTTATACCTCTGTCTAATCCACTACTCTTCCTCTTCCCCTAAAATGATGGTTTTTCTTTGTTGTAGACTAGATTCTGCTCACTTCCTTTTACCAAATACCTGGCAATCCCAGAACCTCAAGAGTGACTTATTTAACCTACAAATATCATACCCCTGGTTAACAGAGTATTCTCTTCCTTTCTTCACCCCCAGCCCCACCGTTTTTTCCTTAGGGAGAAATCTGTGAAGGAAACAGTTGATGCCTAGGGTTAACCAGCAATAGAGAAAACTAAAGTTTTTGGCTAAATTCCCCCATACTTTATCAGTTTTATCCTGGATCCATCAGAAACCACTCATGCAGTCTTTTGACAGTTTTACTTTTTGATTCTTCATACCTTTACTTGAAAATTCACTTTCCCCTTCAGGCCTGTAGGCCTAGCCTGGAAGGATTTTACACCTTAAGCTAGCTTTAGTGGTGATAGGGCTCACAGCAAATTTGGGGAAAATACCTACTTCCAGGTAAAATAAAGGAACTTAAACTGAAGTTCAGTGTCACTTTCTTGACTGGATAGGAGCTGGGATGGGTGGAGCTAGCTCCTGTCTATTTGGTTTGCAGTCAGGAAGCACTGTGGAAAAAAGAGCTAAAGGTATTTAGTGTGTGTGTATCTAATGAGGAAAGTAAAAAGAGGGGACTAACCAGTCATTATTTTTAGAAACAAAAAGACAAACAGAAGCATGTTTCAGAGGCTGGCTGGTGAGGGAGCTGTGGGAAGCTGCGGCATCCAAGCTGTTCCTGTGTTGCAGGCATGTTTTAATGAAGGAACCAGGCCAGCCAGCCTCAAAGGGAATTTTGAGGGTATCATTCTTTTGAATTACTGCTGTTCATCTGTTCTCTTCACCTCCCCTGCTCTAAAGAAGGGGTGGGAGCATAAACTACTGTCCAGTGTCCCTGTCTTAGATGTCATAAACTGAGGCCAACCTAGCCTCACCTTTTCATTGTCCATTCACCCAAACCCCTAAACAAATAAAACCTCTATACCATCTCCTTTTCCCTTCCCTCATCCTGCCTACAGGCTTCTCCCTACTCGAACAAAAATTTTTTTGCTTGCATTTTTATTCTTTCATTATATAGCCAGCAGCGTTGCACTGGCCCCTTTATGGCTGACGGAGCCCAGGCGGGCTGCCCGATGAGAGAAGACAGCATTTGGCCGATGGGGCTGGTGTGTGCCATTACTGCTGGCCATTGGGCCTCTGTCCTCTACAGCTCCATCCTGGCTCATTAAAACCCTGAGCCAAATAGCTGGGCAGGCTCCTGCTGCAGCGCTGTGGGGGCCAGGAAGTTAAATGGTTCTCCTAATCCTGCATAATTTATCTCCCTGTTAGCCCCCTCATAAATAGTCCAATTCAGCCCTACCATGGAGAGCTTCATTCTGAATTTCCTATTTTTGTGATGACCGAGTGTCCAGCCTTTCCCTTCTTCTCTCTTTATTATTATTATTAAAAATTATTTTCCCCTTGTTCGCTATGAGCCTTGCCTAAACGTTTTTTTCATTTGGAGCCTCCTGCCTAGACCCCACTTCACCAGCAATCTGTCCACTTCTCTCGTTTGGACCTGATATCACAGAGCAGTTGGTGCTGCGGCCCTCCTCTTCTCCTCTCCTCACAGCTTTCTAGTGCCTCATTTTCTCCTTTAATCCATCTCCTCTCCTTTTCCATCACTTTCAATTTTTTCTCCTTTCCGTTCCCTCTCCAGCCCCTCTGTCCAGGGACCATCCTTATTGCAGGATGTTTGGTAGGACATTTTAAAAGGGCACTGAATCGCTTATTTTTTTTTTCACATCTCTGTTTCTGTTTCGTTTCAGAGATTTACAAACGAGGACCACCTGGCAGTTCATAAACACAAGCATGAGATGACATTGAAATTTGGCCCAGCCCGAACTGACTCAGTCATCATTGCAGGTATTTGCTGCCCCAAAAGCCACGTGCCTTGATATCACCAGACAGTTAAGATTAATACCAGGGACCAGATGTACTGGGACCTCTACTCCCCTTTCCCCATTAAGAGCCCTTATGTGATCTGCATTTAATCAGGAAAAAGGAACACTAAAAGCTCCCAAGTTTCAGTTGTGCCCTCCATTCTGTTTTAAATACAAGATTGGGTTCTGCAGTTTTTGAGGGTGGGTGTGTTGAGGTTTTGTCTTGGCTTTTTCAGTCTATTCCCTCCTTGCCTTCTTTCTATTAAGACTTTGGAAGATTTACAGACAAAAGACGCCTTTGACATTTCTCCCTACCCACAGTGGAGGAGTGAACAAAAGAAAGCAAGAAAGCCTACCTAGCCTGGCTGCTTCTCTTCCACTTGGGTGTCAGTTTCCCCCAAGCAGGCAGATTGTCAGTTTGTAAATTCATCTTGCCTTGTGAACCCAGACAGCATTGAGGGCACATTTCCAAAGCTCAAACAAGACATTTAGTCAGTGGGACTTTTCTAAGCCAGTTTGGGTGACCTGGAACCTCTTGCTGGTTGTTTAGGTACTGTCTTGCTTACATATGCCATTCTCGAGGGAGCATTCTCTGAAACTGCTCTCAAATCGTGCAGTACTTCTGTCATGCCATTTTTGAGACAGACATACAAAACAAAGTGGGTCTTTTCTTTTGATACTATGAGGGGTTCTAGTTTATCCTGAGTTAAGCAGGCTTACTGCAGTATTTAGCCAATAGAGGATTTAGTTGATAGTTATTAGATCAGTTAATAACTCAGATAAGACACAATTTTTCTAAGTATTATTAGCCAAAATGCAACCTAAGATATAGTGAAGGAAAGAGAGAACCTCCTTCTCCATACTTTTCTGTGTGAAGAAAGGAACTTGCCCTTACAGATCTCCTAAGCCTTATTAATTCAGCAAATATTTATTGAATAGCTACTGTGTGCACCAGCCACTTTGCTAGGAGCTTGTAGATTATAATTCCTGGAAAAGGACATGAGTGGGGACATTGTCATTGATGATCCTTAAGAAAACCTGTAGGAAATCCTTAGGGAAGAATGGATATGGTATAAAAATATATGTTGGTAGTACATACTTAAATTTATTAAGGCATATATACATGAAAAAATTTTTAGTACAAGTGAATAATTCAAACAATATAAATACTAAGAGAATGAATATCAAGTTGAATTAATCAGAGAGTTTATGAAAGAGATACATTTGAGGCAAGGTTATCAAGTTGGAAAGGTTATTTCAAAGGTGGAAAAGTCTATGCCAAGTCTCCAAGAGTGATGAGAGAAATCGGTACAGGATAGTCCCAAGGAGAGAAAGTATTTTCCTGTTACTCTTTGCATTCTGTTCTGGAGTGCTCATCCCACTGCACATGACTCTAGTTATCCTTTCGAGGCTGGTAATTCTCATTTCTCTAAATTGAGACTTTGTGTCCGACATGTATTCCAATCCCTTGTTGAACACTTACTTGGCTGTCTTTCTATCATTCAGATCTTCCTGCCCCCCCATTCCCCATTTCTGAACTTCTCTCCTTGTCCCCTAAACCTTCTCCTTCTCCTTGTTATTCAGTGGTATCAGTATTCTCAAAATCTTGAGTTGTTTTAAAAAAAAAAATCTTGAGTTGTTTTATTCTTTCTTCACATTTTCTCTGTTCTGTTCCTTCCACCACCTTCATTATGCTTGGGTTTCTCCAAAGTCTCCTAGCTGGCCTCCTTGACTGGTCTCGTATTCTAATCTTGCATTCTCTTGAAAAGCCAGTCTTGGGGTGCCTGGGTGGCTCAGTCGGTTAAGTGTCTGCCTTTGGCTCAGGTCATGATCCCAGGGTCCTGGGATTGAGGCCTGCGTCAGGCTCCCTGCTGAGCAGGGAGCCTGCTTCTCCCTCTCCACCCCCATCCCCCTGCTCGTGCTCTCTCTCACTATCTCTTTTCTCTCTCTCACTCAAATAAATAAAATCTTTTTTAAAAAGAAAGAAAGAAAGCCAGTCTTCCCTAAATTCTTCTGCTTTGCTCAAAACCTGTCCTAATCTGGGGTACCTGGCTCTGGCTCAGTTGATAGAACATGAGACTCTTGATCTCAGGGCCATGAGTTCAAACCCCACCTTGGGGATAAAGTTTACTTAAAACAAAACAAAACAAAAAAACCTAAAAACCATCTCCCTCTAAATAAAATGCTCTTAGATTAAAAAAAAAAAAAAAAATCTCAAACCATAAGAGACTCTTCTTAATCATAGGAAACAAACTGAGAGTTGCTGGAGGGAAGGGGGGTGGGTGATGGGCAGTAAGGAGGGCATGTGATGTAATGAGCTTTGGGTGTTATATACAACTGATGAATCACTGAATTCTAGCTCTAAAATTAATTATACACTATATGTTAATTAATTGAATTTAAATTTAAAAAAATCTGTCCTAATCTTCCTATTTTCTGTTACTTTCAAGGCTATTTATACTTGGACTCTCAGGCTTTCTATAATCTAGCCTGATGGTACCTACCCAACTTTGTATACAACTTATATACCTGGCTTGATTATCTTTTTTTTTTTAAGTAGGCTCCACACCCAGCGTGGGGCTTGGACTCATGACCTTAAGATCAAGAGTCACAGGATTTACCGACTGAGCCAGCCAGGCTCCCCCTGACTTGATTACCTTTATGCTAGGCATACCTTTTCCTCCTCACCTATTTGTGGTCCCCATACCCTGCCTCTCTCTATGCCTTTACCTGCCTTACTCCTCTTACCCTCCAAATCTCTTCTTTCTCCTGGTGAAAACCATTCTTGAAGGTCCAGCTCAAGTCCCACTTCTTGAAACTTCCTAACTCTTCTGTCATTAATTTGTCTTTATTTAATTACTCTAACAAATTTATTCTCTACTGCACATGGCACCTATTTTTTTTGTATACTATGATGCTGTCTATGTATATTGGTTTATTTCCTCAACTAGAAAACAATCTCATTGTTCCATAGGGCAAGAGCCATGTCTTATATATTTGGGCAAAACTCCGATACTCCTATCCCTCTCTTCCCCCAAATTTACCCACAAGTGTATATGCATATAGCATCAAAACATGTAGAAAGTATTCAGTAAACACTTGTTGATTTCTTTAGAATCATCAGAGCACACTAACGGTTTTCTTATATATTTTCTGGCTGGTTGTTTGGGAGCAGTTTGTATGGGTCTCAGGTCAGAGAAGCCAAAGGCCCTCTTCTGCCATCGCCATGCCCTTAGCTGCCCCGTCCTGTTTCACTTGAGTTGTGATTTGTGTGTGCCCTTACTAAAGAACTCTTGAGCATAAAGGATGATATTACCTCCACTCACCCGGGGATGGAGGAAAAGTGGCTTCATCATTGGCCAACCAAAGCTTCCAGAGGACCTTTTAAAACTATTTTGGGAGGTAGTGGTAACTTTTCCAAACACTCTGATTCAGAAGAGGTTTTGTTTAAATTAAAAAAAAAAAAAATATGCTGTTCCTTGGAAAATCCCAGTGGACTATTTCCAGTCGATCATGCTAAAGGGAACAATTTTAATCCCAGGTCTCACTCCTTAAAACGTCATTTAAACATTGTTCTATTTCTGTCATTCAGTTTAGTGGTTTGGGGTATGAAATGAATCCCTGAGGTGACTAGCATGTCAAAGAAAACCATCATAATAGAAGTTTAGATCCGGGAACAGGATTCAACTGTCCTAAGAGAGAAAAACTAGAAAACCAGAATGGGGAGAGAGGAGCTCAAATCTAAAATTCAGGTTGCTTAGAAAGTTCCCGTGTGTTACTGATCGCCTTCCTCTTCCCAAGGGCAGAGGCACTGTTGAGGAAAGATTTGTGCAGCCCCTGAGAGGATATTTTGGCTGGCAAATCTAAATCCAAATATCCTGGTTTCCGGAATTTGCTCTGGGCCCAGGTCTCTGTAAAATGAGCTCTATTGTTTGCAGTTTCCTTTTCTAGCTCATGATCTTGCTGTCTTGTTCCCCAGCCCCTAGATTTGCCTGGAATGCCTTCAGAAGGTAACAGACCCTTACCTCAGTGACCACTGAAAGACAAGGCACCATTTCTTATTTGGTAGCTTTAGCAAGCAAAGTCAACCATCTGATCCTCAGTTTCTTCTCCTCATCAGATTTTAACGTCCATCTGCTTATACCTGCTCACTTCAGACCTAGCAGGGAGTAAGTTTAAAGAGAAAATGTCGCTTAACTGTTCCTGATTTTCAGATCTGGAGGTTTCACAGACTCCACCTGGGTGGGTGGTTTTGTTTTGTTTGGGGGTGAGGGAGGTGAAACCAGCCTCTGGGAGAAAGGGGGTTACAGGGATAGTCACACAACAAAACATCGTTCTGTCTTCCCTCTGCTGGCCTCGAGGCAGGACAGCACAGACACCCTCTGGTGGCCTAGCACTGGCCTTCACCTGCTCTCGCTCCGTAAAAGCAAACTTGCCCTAACACAGAGACTCTTTCCAAAGAGAAGAATAAAAATGTGTTCTCTATATACTGTCAAGTTTTAATTTCAGGTCAAAACTAAAATAAAGTTTCCTTTTTTTTTTTTTCCCCGTGTCTGCAGATCAAACTCCTACTCCGACTAGATTCCTGAAGAATTGTGAGGAGGTGGGGCTCTTCAATGAATTAGCTAGCTCCTTTGAACATGAATTCAAGAAAGCTGCAGATGAGGAGGAAAAAAAGGCAAGAGGCGGGACTTTTGCTGACAAACTGGCAGTGTTCAGATGGAGGCTATTTTCAATGTGCCCTGGGATAAATTGCTTAGTCGGTTAAAGCACAGAATTATGGGCTTCATTATTTAGAACCAGATAATACCCACTAATCCAAGTCAGCCTTCCACGTCTTCAGGGGTTCCAGATGATGGATCAGCATAAGTCTGTCTTTACCAAAAATTAGGCTCCTTGCCCTTTCAGTGGAGCATTAGTTCAGTAATTTTTTTTTAATTATTTCTCTTTTGAATATGTTAAGGATGTTAAAAGATTATAAATTACTCAGATTCTGTGAGATAACATTTTTGGGGGTTAAATCTCTCACTCTTTTCTGAGCTAATCAGACTTCTCACCTGGACTGTTATCATTCAGTCAGCCAATCAACAAACATTTATTGAATCTTGACACTTCTTTGTTTCAATATATGCAGCTCTTACCTTCAGGTAGCTTTCTCGTAATATTTAAGACATTAAACTTCAAGAAGGGTGTTTTTTTTTTTTTTAAATAATTTTTATTGTTATGTTAATCACCATACATTACATCATTAGTTTTTGATGTAGTGTTCCATGATTCATTGTTTGTGCATAACACCCAGTGCAAGAAGGGTGTTTTTAATGCCTTCCAAAGGAGATCAACCAGGATGGTAAAAGAACTAAAAATTATGTCACTTTGGGAACATATAAAGAAACTGAGGAAGTTTTGCTTGGAAAAGAGAAGTTTTAAGGTGAAAAAAAATTGTAGTCTTCAAATATGTGAAGAGCTTTCATGTAAAAGAGTGGTTAAAGTTACTCTGTGTGGCCTAGAGGTAGAAATAGGACCAGCAGGTGGAAGCTATCACAAAGTGTGTGCTATTAGATGTAGGCCACTTAGTGTGGATACTGTAGAGAGGATTAGAATGTTGGAATCCCTTATTCTGAGTTCTTTCCTTCTAAGAAGAAGAGAGCAGGTAAATCAAGAGAGTTGTGCATGACTTTTTTTTCATCCAGCTTAAAATGTAATTGTAAGAATGCAAGATAAGGTGTCCTTATCACTGGAGTTTTTTCCAAGTTCCATAGCTTCCTCTGAGCTTCTTTTCCTGCTGTCTCCCTCAAACCGAAAGAAAGCAGGGAAATCCAATGGCATATATTTGTAGTTCTCCTTTCAAATGGCTGGACTAGCCACAGTCTTCTCGTTACTTTTCTTTAGAGACTCCAGTCTCTCATCTCTCTGTGGCTTCAACCTACGTGGTATAATTTTACTTTACAGCTTCCCTACCTCATCCCCCCCACCACCATCATTTCTCCTTCTCCCAAGACAAATCAGTCAAATTGTTTCCACCAGGATGTGAGCGATTTAAAATCAAATTCATTATAGGCAAATTCAAGAAAATTAAACTCCCTTTAAAAGTGCGAAGTCTTTTCTACTGCCATTTTAACTCAGTTGACACTTCTGGGAGGCCATTCATAGTTGGTCAGGCTTTTACTCGTTGGGCATCTCATTATTTCTTCCTGCCTATACAGGGGTGGTCTTTACCTCCCCTTGATGAGAAGAACAGACTCAGTAGAAGATTGTATCCAGGAATGTTGACTGAGTCTAAAATTTCACTGAACCACAGCTTTTCTAGGAGATGCCTCAAAGGGATTTTAAACCCATGGTTCTATTTACTTAGAGGCCTCTCCTTCCCACCACCCTCTGACTTCAGGGATCCCAGAATTAGCTAAATTGGGCCCAACATCTTCACAATGTAGAAAAAAATGAGGGCAGAAATGAAAGCATTTTTGCTATTGCTCACCCCCATCAGATTGGAGAGAAAGAACCATTACCACCTTCTCTAATGTGGTAGACGCCAGATTATCTTCATTGTGCTCAACTACCAAGATTTCTAGAATTTAGGTGGCAAGGGAAGAGTTAGAAACAAGCTCCTCTTTGACCAAGAAGCCCAAGATATGGGAAGAATAGAACAAAGGATCTACTTTGTCATGAAACCGGACTGCAGTGGCAGCCCTCCTGGCGTGGTGCAGTGTCTGGGCCACACTCTCAGATGGTTTATGGATCCCTGCAAAGCCATTTACGGCTCCACGGTTTTGTGAAGTGATTCACCACTGCCAGAAAAGTACTCTCTTTCCTTTCTGGTTTTCTCCAGTCCTGCTTCTAGGATCAAGTTCTAATTTCTTTAACTGATCAAATAGCCAGCCTTTCCTTTCCTTATTACCCCGAAACCCTAGCTTCCTAACTTCTAGCCTCTAACATCAGATGTTGGGATGAAATCACCATCGAGTGTGGGAAGTTCCCTGGAAAAGATCTTTTCTATCTTGTTTGTAGTACTTCAATAGCTAATTTATCTTTGTTTGCTTTTGATACTTGGGTAATCTAGTCCTTCTGGTTGGCAGAAAAAGTGCTCACAGTTCTCCAGTGGCCAGCAGAGCTGGTTGGAAATAGGCAAGCACGGGATTCAGGAATCATTTTACTTTCATGAAAAATTATATAATTATATTTGCATGGATTTAAATCACATCTTTTTTTTTTCCTTTCAGGGTCTTTATAAACATTTATAAATATTTTTTTTTCCTTTCAGAATCTTTATAAGTATTCACCCATGGTGAAGCAGGCATTATTTCTATTTTACAGTTAGAAAAACAGAAGTTCTGAGAAGTTTAAAATGATCTGGCCAGAGTTGTACATAAAACCTAGGTTTCATATTTCTTTGACTTACAGGTCAGTTCTTTGACCAAGGGCTGAACTTAGAAGTATATTTTCTCGGGGCTCTTGGCTGGCTCAGTCAGTGGAACATGCGACTCTTGATCTCAGGGTTGTGAGTTCAAGTCCTACATTGGGTGTGGAGCCTACTTAAAAAAAAGAAAAGAACCTGGAAAGATTTTGATTCAGCCTGTAGGGAATCATGGGGTTGAACTTCGCTTATTTCTCTCTTTTAACAGGCTGCTGCTGGGCCCCTTGACATGTCTTTGCCTTCCACACCAGACATCAAAATCAAGGAAGAAGAGCCAGTGGAGGTAGACTCATCCCCACCTAATAGCCCTGCCTCTAGTCCCTGCTCCCCGCCACTCAAGGAAAAGGTAAATTCTCTACCAAGAATTATCCCAGGGGCGCCTGGGTGGCTCAGTTGGTTGAGCGTCCAACTCTTGGTTTCGGCTCAGGTCATGGTCTCAGGGTGTGGGATCAAATCCTGTGTCCAGCTCTGCACTCAGTGGAGAGTCTGCTTCAGATTCTTTCTCCCTCCCACTCTGTTCCTCCCCCTGCTCACTTGAGTGCGCGCTCACTCACTCTCTAAAATAAATAAAATCTTAAAAAAAAATTATCCCAAGTGTTAGTTGGTAGGTAGATTAAGTTTTGATTCATTAGTTGTATAAATAATGTGTGATACAGGATTGATTATACTTAAATAATGTTCATTGTTTAGAAGACTTGTATAAATTACACCTATTCTCTGACCCAGCAGTTCCACTTCTGAGTCTATATGGAAGTGAAATTAGTGTATATGTCCACTATATAAAAGTATATAAGAATGCTCATAAGAGTTGTATTCATAATGGTCAAAAAACTGAAGTAGTCCAAATGTCCATCAATAAGAGAATGAATAAATAAATAAATTGTGGTATATTTCTAAAACGGAATACTGAGGGTGCCTGGGTGGCTCAGTTAAGCACCTGACTCTTGGTTTCAGCTCGTCATGATCTCAGGGTCATGAGTTCGAGCCCCATGTCGGGCTTCATGCTGGTCATGGAGCCTGCTTAAGATTCTCTCCATCTCCCTTTGCCCTTTGCTCCCCCCCACCCCCCCTCTCTAAAAATAAATAAATGAAATAAAATGGAATACCACACGGCATTAAAAAAGAATGAACCAATGACATACACAGCAATGTGGTGAATCCCACAAAAGTTATATTGAACAACAACAAAATTCAGACACAAAAGTACACACATGACTCCGTTTACATTAGGTTCAAGAAGAGGCAAAACTATTTGATGATGTTAGAACCCAAAGTAAATGTTTAACTTTCATGAGGGAACGGGGTGCCTGGACGGCTCAGTCGTTAAGCATCTGCCTTCGGCTCAGGTCATGATCTCAGGGTGCTGGGATCGAGCCCCGCATCGGGCTCCCTGCTCCGCGGGAAGCCTGCTTCTCCCTCTCCCACTCCCCCTGCTTGTGTTCCCTCTCTCGCTCTCTGTCAAATAAATAAATAAAACCTTAAAAAAATTTCATGAGGGAAGGTGTGGATTGGGAAGGGACACCTTCTGGGGTGCTGGAAATGGGCTCTGTCTTGATGTTACATATATAGTCATTTATTTATATCCTTTAGATTAATGTATTTTATGTTGACTTCAATTATTTTGGGTTTTTTTGGGGGGGGTGGGGTTTGTTTTTTTTTTTTACAAGAGAACAAATCTACACCTTTATTTACTTTTCATTAAATTTAAATCCTTGAGGGGTACAGCATCACACGGATTCTGTGGCCAATGGCTTTAGCAGGAAGGTTGCTTCGGAATTTGGCACGAACCATGCCACTGTTTCCATGAGCACGAGTTACTTTTCCCCAGATTACTCTGGTTTTGTTTGGTTTGCCACCAGGAGTCACTGTGTTGTTCTTTGCTTTGTACACATAAGCACATCTCTTGCCTAGATAGAATTCCGTTTCATCTCGAGCATAAACACCTTCGATTTTAAGAAGAGCTGTGTGCTCCGTCTGGTTCTGGAGACCCCACTTATAGCCAGCAAAAATGGCCTTGGACCATAGCCTTCCAGACATTATTTTGCGTTATAGGAGTCCTATTCCCAGCAGGCCTCCACAGACTCCAAGATGGTGGAAAAAGTGTTTTGTTTTTTTTTTAAGAGAAGGAGAGAGAGGAGTGGGGAGGGGCAGAGGGAGAGAGAGAATACCAAGCAGGCTCCACACCCAGCACGGAGTCCAACATGGGGCTCAGTCTCACAACCCTGAGATCATGACCTGAGCTGAAACCAAGAGTTGGCCACCCAACCAGCTGCACCATGCAGGCACCCCTGTACTTCAGGTATTAAGTGGGAAAGAAAACTTATGTAATTCATAAATTGGACATTAAATGATTTTGGAAAAAAATCTTTTTTTTTTTTTCAGGATTTTATTTTTTTGACAGAGAGAGACAGTGAGAGAGGGAACACAAGCAGGGGAAGTGGGAGAGGGAGAAGCAGGCTTCCCACGCAGCAGGGAGCCCGATGCAGGGCTCGATCCCAGGACACTGGGATCGTGACCTGAGCCGAAGGCAGATGCCTAATGACTAAGCCACCCGGGTGCCCCGGAAAAAAGTCTTAGAAGGAAGGCGTCTGAACTACATGGCAGCTTAATTTTAATCATGTAAATTTGGACTTGAGATGTGCTTCTAGGTTTACCAGAGATTTTTCCCGGTGACAAATAATTTATACTCCCTCATACGTTTTACCCTTGTGGGCTAAAGGCCAAATGTTCTAAGAAATGCTGCCCAAGAGCTGGTCTTACTCTTGCTCTCTCTGTATTAATGTATGTATGTATATATGTGTGTATACATATAAACATATATATGTATGTATTTTTACACACACATGTACACATAATACTTTTCAGTCCTGTCCAAATATATGCAGCACTTAAGATAGCTAAGCCAAAACCACATTAAAAGAGAATGAACGTCATCAGTGCATATGTCAAAATGTCTCTTGTAATTAATAAATAATTCATTTAAAAAAGTTAAAAAACAAAAAAAGAAGGAAGGCTTCTAGTGACTCAAAGAGAAAATCTAGAATTCTGGCTATTTTTTTTTTTTAAGATTTTATTTATTTATTTGACAGAGAGACAGCGAGAGAGGGAACACAAGCAGGGGGAGTGGGAGAGGGAGAAGCAGGCTTCCCGCTGAGCAGGGAGCCCGATGCGGGGCTCGATCCCAGGACCCTGGGATCACGACCTGAGCTGAAGGCAGACGCTTAACAACTGAGCCACCCAGGCGCCCCTGAGTATTATTTTTTTAAAGGAAACTTTTTATGAGGTAGTATTTTTCAAAATTTATTGAAATATAGCATACGTACAGAAAAGTGCACAAATTGTGAATATATAGCTCACTGAATTTTCATGAAGTTTACAGCCTGTGTAACCAGCACCCAGATATTATCAGAACCTCAGAAGCCCCCTCATGCCTCTTTCCAATCTCTACTGCTCTACCAGGGGTTATTAATTTTAATGTTCCCTGTGGGTAGAGCATCTGTACCTCATTTTACCTCCCTCCAAATTTGGTTTGATAACTTCTCCAAACTACCTCTTCCATAAACATTACAACTGTCCCTCCTCCCTCCCCTTTTCATTAACAACCAGGTCCTAAAGCTTGTCTAGAGATGTGTGAGGGCCAGTGTGGCCACTAGCAACTAAGGTCCCAAACAAGTTAACAGTGGGAAGCAGTTTGTTTTATTACAACATGACCCTTAAACTTCCATAGCCTTTTCTTCCATGGCCTTTTTTAAAGGGATCCATCTGGGGGTGCCTGGCTGGCTCAGTCAGTAGAGCGTGTGACTCTTGATCCCGGGGTCGTGAGTTCAAGCCCCACATTGGGCATGGAGGCTACCTAAAATAAAAAGGTGGGGGTGGGGGTATATGTCTGTAGGAGATATTAGGTTGCCTTATCACCAGTCTTACACCCTGCCTTTTCTCATTAGAGATCAGAGGACACTCAGACATCAGATTCGGAATAAGAGTGAAAAATTATGACAGTCCTTGGAACTTATATGGCACTACGGTGCTTCTATAAAGATTTCAAGTGATTTTCCAACTCTCATCTCATTCATAAAGCAATCATCCCTGAAAGGGAGATAGCCAAAAAGCCTTAACTCGGCATTCCTGTTGAGTGGGCGAGTGAAGTATGGGTCCATGATCATAATAGAGTCAGGGCATGATTTACATGAGTCACTGTAGTGCTCTTTCCAGTAAATGTGTACTACATTTAACCAGCTACATAATTTCCTATAAGCAGCCCCATATAGCATTTTGTGTTCTGTTGGTCTCTTCTCCTCAGGAGGTGGCCCCAAAGCCTGTCGTGATCTCTACCCCCACACCTACCATCGTGCGCCCTGGCTCCCTACCTCTCCACTTGGGCTATGATCCACTTCACCCGACCCTTCCCTCCCCAACTTCTGTCATCACACAGGCTCCACCATCCAACAGGCAGCTGGGGTAAGTAAAGCAGGGAAAAACAGTGGAGCCTGAACCTTTTTGTACTTGGTAAAACAAAAACAGGGACTGTTTTTGAATACTCAAAGAAAACGAGTCAGTGAGATTGTCTCTCAAAATAAAATATCCTCCCATAAGCAGACATCTCCTTTACCTTATCAGTAAACAAGCAAGTATTTATTTGGGGATAATACTTCCTGAATTTGGAGGTTAGATCTTTTCTTCGATCTAAGAGAAGAATCTTTAAAACTTTAGGAAGTTCATCATAATGGTGGAAGCCACACAGGGAAGTATATCTAGTTCTTGGCCTCAATCTGTACAAGGTTTGGAGGGCATTGCTGAATGATGGGCTGAAACCCATTAAGTCATCTTTTTGAGTCTGGTGTTCCCCCTCAGTCTGGGGTTCTTGGTCTTTGCTACCCCTAATTTTGTTTCTCTGTCTGTCTTCAGTCCTGGCATGGTCCATACAGACTTCCTAATGAGATGACTTGAGCTCCTGTCCCCGGGTACCCATGGGTTTAGAGGTTATTGTCAGGATTCAGCCTCTTAAAGCTTATTGTTCTCTGGACCCACAAGGAAAAATACAAAGTGACATCTTTTGGGGACAAGGTAGAGCAGTACATGCAAAGGAACAAGAGAAATTTATTCATATTTGGCTATCATATGACATAATTCGGCTTTGCAAAATGACAACTTTGGTCCAAGTCCCAGCTAAGGCAAGACAGAATTTATACATGCCAGTGGTAGGGATGTTTGTTTCGTTGTTCTGAAATCTTAATAGGATTAGCTTCCCACCCATTTGAATTCAGTGGTATTTGCTTAATTTGCAAGGTGTAAAGATCTTACCATTTCTGGCCATCTGGCCATCTGTAAGGTAAGGTAAGTGGCATTCCCTGGTTCTTCCACGTTCATGAGAGTGTCAAGAATTTATAGTGTTGCCCTGTAGCTTCCCTAACTAGAGAAGCCTGGGCAATCTGCTGTAATTATAGGAGGAAGATCCATAGACAAAAGGGTCTGTATGATGAGCATTTCACTTCGTGTCTCCTCAGGTCTCCCACTGGCTCCCTCCCTCTCGTCATGCATCTTGCTAATGGACAGACTATGCCTGTGCTGCCAGGGCCTCCGGTACAGATGCCTTCTGTTATATCGGTGAGCTCTGTAGTTGGGGCAGCCAACCCTACTGACACACTAATCCCTCCCTTCCACCTGAATGCTCATAAACACACATGCGCCCCAGGGAAACGTGGGCTCTGGTCTGTATTAGTTGAGCGTGGCAGCCTGCCTAAACTCTCCGCTAACTTCTGCCAATCCAGCACTGTGGAACACTAGACAAAGACTCATCTGGACAATTGGCTCCTGGTCTAGGAATTGATCTTGCCAGCCTGCTGATTGGTTGATTTCACTTGGCACTTAGCGCCTCCCACATTGCCCACCACTTTCCTCAAGATAGAGCCCCAGCCGTTCCCATGGAAATTGTCAGCACTAAAGGATTAGATTCCCTACCCTGTGGTGCTCCGTGGGGAAAGGTGTTTCCCAGGCTGTCCCTCTGTGCCCTCTGGACAGGCTGCACAGAACAGGCTCTGACACGCCAGTCTCCAAAGCACTTCATTTTGGAGCTGTTGCCCCACCACTAGTATTATGTTCCCTTCTGGTTTTTCCTCCTCCTCTTGATCCAGCTGGCCAGACCTGTGTCTATGGTGCCCAACATTCCTGGTATCCCTGGCCCACCAGTTAACAGCAGTGGTTCCATTTCTCCCTCTGGCCACCCTATGCCATCAGAAGCCAAGATGGTGAGTACATCCCAGCTTGGGGCAGTGTTGGCCCTTTCGAAAGAAGCGTTATCAGCCTCGGTGTTTCAAGTGAGCCAGGCAAAGAAACCTTCTGGGGCTTGCAAAGCTAAAGATACCCTGCGGTGGGGTCTGGAGAAGAAAAGACCCTGATTCATGACTCCTCTCTCCTCTCTTCCACCTTTAGAGCCTGGTACATAGACCATGGCAGTGAAAAGAGGCAGCACAGATTGTTTAGAGTGGAATGCTTGCTGTTTCAGTTCCAGGGTGACAGATGGAGGGTGGATGAGTGGGCAGGAGAGCTGGCCAAGAGGTGAATAGCTGCATAACCAGCACCTGGCCAGGTTCCAGGAGAGAGCTTTCATCTGGACTCTATTACTTCAACAACCCCCACCCTCCAACTGTGCCCAGGATGATAGCCAAGGAACAGAGTAGGCATGTTAGGGATCCAGGTGCACATTTTCCCTGTCATTTCCTTTAATTCCTCTGTTAAGGGCAAATTGGTGTGGAAATTTTAGTGATCTATAAGGTCAGTATTAAAATCTAACCCTCTCTTCTCACCCTTGGTAGAATCTTAACCCTTGACAAGCGATTTTTTATTATTGTTCCCTACAGAGACTAAAAGCCACCCTAACCCACCAAGTCTCCTCAATCAATGGTGGATGTGGAATGGTGGTGGGTACTGCCAGTACCATGGTGACAGCCCGTCCTGAGCAGAGCCAGCTCCTCATCCAACACCCTGATGCCCCATCCCCTGCCCAGCCACAGGTCAGTTGGGACCTTGGACGGGGGGAGCCTGCTGTGTCACCGTTACTTTATGTCACGTCTAGTTTTCAAGGAGCAGAAAGAGCGGGTTTCAGTCTTCTGGGCATCTTCTTGTGCTTTGGTTCTTGTTAAGAGTTTGACAGTAGCAGAATGCACCAGTCTTTATCTACTCTTCTGTTATATTTACATCAGACAAGCTGGAGAATGCAGAGCTGGCACGGAAGAGGTCTCAATTTTTGGTTTTTGGTTTTTTCTATATGTGAATGACGTATCTGCAGAACCCTCTAAAATGTGACAGAACCTGACTCAAACTACTTTGTGCACCAAAGGAGTCTCCCTAGTCTCTTTCCCATGCGTTAAGTCTTACAGAAAATAAACCAAAACAAAGACAAAAACAACCAAAAAAACTTACCTGATTATCAGGTTTTGTGGCCAAAATTAGGTAATAACAATATATGAGTAAAATGGGGTGTCACAGTACTAAGATGGCTCAGTAAATAGACATAATAGAACACCTTTTCCTTATCCATTTAATCCCTTTCTATCACGGAGAAATGAAAGTCTTATTAAAGCTAGAGCAGTCCCTTTTATATGCCCTGTTCTTTTCCCAAGGAAGCCTCAGTTTTAATAAGTTTCTTTGAAAACTGAATAGGCCTTAGTTTTTGTAGTATCTGCACTGGACAGGTGACAACAACCTGAGATGGGTTTCTAGAATTACATCTTTGTCCAGCCCCTTTTTCTGATGTCACCACCTGCTTCGTCAGTTACCACCACATGTCCTAACATTTAATGGCCATATGCCGCCTTAAAGCTTGGCCAACAACTAAAGCCTTCATTTGAGTTTTCTTGTTGGAAGCTGAGCTTATCCGCCCTCCTAGAACCCCTTCCGATGCCAGTCCCTGGAAATGGCAGAGCAGTAGCCACCTTGCCTGAGTTGTGCTGCTGCCCTCTCAAGAAAATGATGTGACTTCCTTTTTAGTCACCGCTGATCCCTTTCTTTCTCATTCTTCCCTTCTTTCCCTTGGTGTTCTTTCAGCTCTCTTCCCTGCATGAGCTGCTGAGTTACTGTGAGAGAATCAGAACCTACCGTTTCCTTTCCCCATCCCCCTAAAGCGCCGGTCTTCCCATGTGCTCCACCAAGCTCAAGACAAAGAGGAAATTGAAAGTCTCAAGAGAATTAGTATAAACTTCCCATAGTACAGTGAGAAGCAATGACCCAAGGCCTCCAGCTCGTTAAATTGAGTTTTAAATTTCTTCTCCATTTTTTCTTTTGGGAGAGAGAATATTAGTGTGAATAAATAAAATTACCTCTTGATTATCTATATTAATGGAGAACATGAATTAGTAGGGCCTGAAGTGGAGTATAAGATTCTGTTTTTTATAAGCTCATGCTTAGTCTCATGCAACTGATGTGAGCTCTGGCCCTTGGGAACTACTAATATAGATATTTTCTAAGAGCAACAGATCTAGGAAGAATTTGTTTTTGGCATTGTTTTACATTATATAGTTTCTTTTATACAGATGGCTGACCTTTCTACATTTTAATTTTGCCTGCTCTTATAAAGTTTGTCTATCTTCTCTGAACACATACCAGCTAATAGAAAGGAAAGATGATCCAGAAGTACTGTAGTGACAGAGGACGTCAGCCTAAAGTTTAAAGACAAAAGGCTATCCTATATCACCAGTGTGTAAAGGGATTAAAAATGCTTTTTTGCATAAAAACAAACAACAAACAAGGTGGGGAGGGTGATTGCTGAGGATGATTAATAACTGACTATAAATAAGAATGTACTCTCCATGATAGCCAGTATCTCACCGGTAGTGAAGTCTTTCCTCCTTTTCTGAAACTTGTTGTAGCATTCAATTGTTTGTATATATTGCTTGTCCAAATCAGTGATTCTCAAATATCTTTATTCCTGTCTCCCTAAAAGTTCCCCCGATACCCAGCCCTCATTACAGTTTCCCCTCCTACAGGAAGATTCCCTGTTAAGAAACAAAAAGTGACGCTCGCTTCATCTTGTCTGTCTCAGAAATCATCAGTTTCCACCTGAGCTGTGGTTTGTCTAAGTTTGGGGCTGAGAAGACTGGAAGGAAATGGGGAGGCAGAGAGAAGAGAAACTCAGGGGCATGGTGATGAGACATGCTCTGGTTGCAGAGACTGGTACATCCCTTTACCAGATCTTTACCAGAGCTTACTAACCTACCTGACATCAGGTTTAATTTGCAAAGGGTTGATGTTCCCTTCAAGTATCTCCTCTTCCTGGGCCCCAGGTCTCACCAGCCCAGCCCACTCCCAGCACGGGAGGACGACGGCGACGCACAGTGGATGAAGATCCTGATGAACGGCGGCAGCGTTTTCTGGAGCGCAACCGGGCTGCAGCCTCCCGCTGCCGTCAAAAGCGGAAGCTCTGGGTGTCCTCCCTCGAGAAGAAGGCAGAGGAACTCACTTCTCAGAACATTCAGCTGAGTGTGAGTGGGTCCCTGGGTGGTTATTGGGATTGATGAATCTGGAAAATGAGATTGAATCGGAAAAAAGTGAAACAGTATAAAAGAAGATGATAACTCTTTAAATTAGGAGTGTTCCAGAAGCTGTGCCAGGAAGAATGCAGAAAGAAACTCTTAACTGTCAAAATTGAAATCTCTTCCCCAGGGGTTGGAAAAGACTCACCATCTACTCCCAAACCTGTTGCTAGAGTCTGAATCATCCACAGACCCATTTGGATGTGGGGAATTAGATTAATTGTCCCAGGGTACTCTTTTAGGTCATCAGTAGAATCCGACTGGGATCGTGGAGCTCCCAAAGGAAATGTATTTGCCCTGGATAATGCAGCTTAATGAAAGAAAGAAAAAACCACATGAGCACAAATAGAAAAATTATAATCCAGATATTTTCTTGAATATTATTTTCCCTTTTGATAACTTACTAAAAGATTTCATTGCAAAGGTATATATGAATATATTTATGTATATAACATGCATACCTACATGCACACACAGTGTATAGAACAAAACCAAAGTTCTTCTTCAGTATGCCTCTCCCAGTCTTACTCTTTCCTGTGGATGAGTTTGGTGTGTACCTACCAGACATATATGTATTTCTAAATATTTTTTTCATTTATACTTTTTGTGGGGTAGTCAGGGAGGGACTGTGTGTTTGTTTTAACATAACTAGGTTGATAGTATCTCCTGGAGATCTGGCCATGTGTCTAGAGAATCTACTTCATTTTTTTTAATAGCTCTATGGTAGTATATTCTGTAGTGTGGTTATATTATAAGGTATGGGTATTTACAGTATTTCTAATTTTTTGCCAGAACAGCAGTGCTATAGTTAACATTGTATGCACTTGAGTAGATAGTTTTGTTAAATAGATTCCTGGAAGTAGGCTTTCTTAGTCGGAGGACATATGCATTATTAATTTTGGTATGATTATGTTTATCCTAAATAGGAATAATGTTTCTATTATAAATCCCTCCTTTTCACTGTAAGCAGCTCCTGTCAGTGAATTCATGACTGTACTGGCCCTGAGCTGTCTGAAGCCTTGCGGGATGAGGAGTCTCCCAGATTCAGGGGAGAAAATCCAGGCAGCATTCTGTCCTCACCGTGGGGACAGCCACTGGGGGCGCAGGGGTGGAGGGTGCTTTTTCTTGATGCCCTTTTCTTTCCTCCCTCTTCAGAACGAAGTCACATTGCTACGCAATGAGGTGGCTCAGTTGAAACAGCTACTGTTAGCTCATAAAGACTGCCCGGTTACTGCACTACAGAAAAAGACCCAAGGCTATTTAGGTGAGTGGCTCACAACCTAAGCAAGGGTAGTCAGTCAGTAAACTACATGTACCGAGTGCCTCAACTGTTTATAATTTTATAATCCCATTCTGAATGTTCTGGAGGGATCCACACTGATGAGTGAGCGGCCTTTCTGGAACAGCCAGTCCTACAAAATAATTTTGTTTTCAGAACCATATAGAGTTATCCTAATTATCTATCGTAGTTGTAGATAAAGGGTAGCAATATTTATCGGGTGCCTACTTTGTGTTAGGCCCTTTACCATCTGCCCAGTTCTCTCATGAAATAGATATTGCCTCCATTTATATACAAGAAAACCACTCAGAATAGTCATGTACCTGAAGTTACACAGTTGGTGAAGTAGCAGAGCCAAGATTCCCATCTAGGTCTTTCTTATTCCAAAGATGCTATCTTGGCCTCAAGAGAATATAAACAACAGATGATACATTGGCGTTTGTTAAGCATTGTGCTATGGGGGTATATTTTATCTTTCTAATGATGGACCCATGGGTGGTTTTAGTTTGTAACCTATGTGCACACATAAAATGGTGCTAGAAAGAGATGGTCATATGGTCATAGTCGTGCTCGGGACAAGCACAGTCCTGAAATTAAAATTACTGTGAATAATTTGCTTATGGACAGTGAAAGCTAATAAAACATTTTCCTTTACAAATTTAATAAATTCCTAGAAATTTTGGCTATCAAATTTTGATATATTGTTATTTTTCCACTGTCTTTATCATTTCAGAGATGTGTTCCCATAGAAAAAGAGTAACCACATCACTCATTTTAAACATCTCTATTTAAATTTTAATTTTAATATGTACTTCAGGATACATTCATTCATTAAGCAGATACTGATTGAGCCTCTTCTGTGCCAAGCACTGTTTTATATACTGAGAATATAATAGGAAGCCAGGTAGATTAGATTAAAATCCCTACCCTTGAGGGGCTTATATTTTAGTAGGTGAGACAGACAATCAGCAAGATAAATAGGTACAATATATGGTCTATTAGATAAGAGTAAATGCTTGGAAGAAAAAATAAAACAGGAAAGAGGAATATGAAATGTTGGCAGCAGGGTTGAAATTTTTTTCAACCTTCACTCTTCTTTATTCAAAAGAAAACTTTTGAATAAAGAAATAAAGACTTTAAGGAAGTGACAGAGTTGGCTATGCATTTATATGGGAGAAAAAGTACTGCCAACGGGAAGAACAGCAAATGCAAAGACCCAAAGTGGGATGCACCTGGCACATTCTGGGAACATCAAGGAGGGTAGTGTGGCTGGATTGGAGAGAACCGGGGATGGAGAGTAGTTGGAGATGAGGTAGGGGAGCTAACAGGAACATTTTTATATAGGGCCTCATCAGTCCTAGTGAGGACCTCGGCTTTTACTCTACATGGGGGGCCATTAGAGGGTTTTTAGAGGAAGAGTGACATGACTGGTCTGACTTACATTTGAAGAGAATCACTCTGTTAGAGAGTGCAGGATAGCAAGCAGTCCATTTAGGAGTCTGTGGCAATCATGTGAGCAAGAGGTGGTGGAGCCTTGAGCCAGGATGGTGGTAGTGAAAATGGTGAGAAGGGGTTGAATTCAGGGTATATTTTGAAGTTAGAGTGACAGTGTCTGATGACGGGCCAGACGGGGTGGTGTATATGAGAAAAGAATCAAAAGCTGCACCAAAGTTTTTGGCCTGAGCAACTGCAACAGTGGAGTTGCCATTAGTTGAAGTAGAGGAAAGTGTAGAAGCAAATGGATTAGGAGGTGTGTCTGCAGATTTGGACAAGCTGAACTGCAAGCTGAACGTAAGCTTGCAGGTGGAGGTATCAAGTGGAGGCTGGTTATATGGTCCTGCAGTTCAGAGGAAAGGCTGAAGATAAAACTTTGGGAGTCAGCAGCATGTAGTTAGTTTTTAAAGCCACAAAACCAGATGAAATGGTTTCGCTATTGAAAGAGCACAGACAGAAAGAAGAAAGGTAGTCACAGGACCGAGCTCTGGGGTACTCCAACACTTAGAGGTCAGAGAAAGAAGAAGAAACCCACAAATAAGGTGGAATGAGCCGCCAAGAAGGCAAGAGGGAAATAAGCTGAGTAGTGAGTGTGGCATTCTGGAAACCGGGATGAGAAAGTGTTTCCAGAAGTTTAGTGATCAACATTTCAAATCCTTTTGATTGGGAAAGGAAGGCAAGGATTGGGTATTCATCAGTGTGAAGTCAATATACAGTAAGTTTTCTGCTCAATCCCTTCAAGAACTTTTGAGGGGCAGGCAATCCATTAAGCTACTTATTTGTTACAGCAAAGATGTATTTGGTTCCTGCTGTGTGGTGTAGACACTGTGGTAGGTATTTGACTCAGGCCAATGACACACTGTACCTCTGAGAGACTCAGAGTTATGAGGAGATAAACATGTCAGCCTGTGAATAAGGTATGCACAGATATCCCAGTCAAAGAGCCCCTGGAGTGGGAGCTTCCTGAGGACAGGGCTCCTGTTTTATTCATTATATACCGCAGTGCTGGCACATGGAAGATGCTCAGTAAAATGATGAATAGATGAATGTGTGCTCTGAAAGCACCAGCGATGAGATAGTTAATTTCATGAACGTAACAAAGAAGGTTTCACAGAAGAGGTTATATTTGAATCTTGAAAGGAGACTCAGACTTTCATCAGGAGAGAATGAAAAATACAACCATTGGTGGTTGGCCCTTATTTATTCCACACATCTCTGTTTAAGCAGCCGTGGAGGCTGTGTGATGTTTCATAAAACTTGACTGCAGAGCCACATGGAGTTACCTTTGTATGCAGCTCAGATATTTGTGTGTATCAGTAAAGTGTTATCATCACTTTAGGTGAAGTGGCGTAGCCCATAAGAAATGTTTTCAATCATTAATGCCTAGCCAATTGATAGTCAGGAGGATCCAACAAGCCTCTTTGTAGTTTGTTGTATTAACTGAACCTTGGCCAAGGACTGGTCATTCATAACCTCATCTGAGTGAGCTTAATATCTATCAGGCTTACCTGGGGTGCAACTGCATGCTAAAGGAACATAAAAAATAATGGAATGATTAAATTCTTGTGGGAATTAATCAGAGAGGATAGCTTAAAAAAAAAAAATCTATTTTAAATCACCTTTTAAGACATGACTGAAAGGAAGAGTGTTCCAGTAGGGGTAATGAACTACACAAAGACGCAGAAACCAGACGGTGTAATTAACATGCTGAGGGGTTACTTCACTGAGATAGATAAATTAATTTGGGCCTAGTTCTTGCGTCCCTTCTCACAACTTCCCGTTTCCTAGCCCCTTCGTGGCTTAGAAGCTAAGATTCTGGGAAGTTTCCCCCCAAAATGATGGGGCCTTCCTTTTCCTTTTGGGCTCCTTTAGAATTAATGGCACAAGGTGATCTTGCTTGTTTCCCCATTCTCTTTTCTAATCACTTGCTCTCTGCTCTTTGTCTTCCTTCCTGGCAGAAAGCCCCAAGGAAAGCTCAGAGCCGACGGGTTCTCCAGCCCCTGTGATTCAGCACAGCTCAGCAACAGCCCCTAGCAATGGCCTCAGTGTTCGCTCGGCGGCTGAAGCTGTAGCTACCTCGGTCCTCACTCAGATGGCCAGCCAAAGGACAGAACTGAGCATGCCGATACAGTCGCATGTGATCATGACCCCACAGTCCCAGTCTGCGGGCAGATGATGCCTCCCCTGGTGGAGAGGTCCCCAGTCAGAGCTCGCCCGCCCGAGAGCCAAGAGAGATGTCATCTTATCGCCTCCCATCTGCCTTGGACATGGCAATATGGGGGGGGAATTGTGTGTTGTGAGTAATGGACAGATGTGGGGCTTTTCAGCCACATGCTCATGTACATTGACACCTGTACTAGGAGCCTCCCAGCCCCAGAGCCACATAGATCATCCCCTGCGGGGCAGTTTCTGATGTACCCACAGCCAAAGGCCTTTCCAGATGGTCCGAACAATCACCCCTGCCCGTGCATGTGTACCTGTCTCTTTTAACACTAACCCTTGCACTGCTAGGTTTTGGGTTTCTCAGTTTCCTCTCTTCCCACTAAGCCATGGCTGTTACCTTCCTGTTCCTTAGCAGCACGCCACTTCCTGCTAGGTAGGGGAGGCTAGTATTGATGGCAAGTCACCGCTGGCCCGCCCCAGCCACCCAGTGGGCTCAGGACTTTGTCTCCCATTAATTGCTTATTTTATCCCTTTACCCCCTTCCTGAAGTCTCGTTGAAACATTCACTTACGGCGAATGTAAAATTACCCTTGATGTATGAATTAGCAGTATTTTCCAGCTCTTCCATAAACTTTAGTCCTTCTCCCTACCTGCCACCAAAAAAACCCAAAAACAAACAAACAAAAAAAACAAAAAAACAAAGCAAAAAGAAAGAAACAAAACCCCAAGAATTCTAGTCCTTTGTCAGCTATTTCCAGAGATATTTGGGTCTCTCGTTTTGTGTCTTGAGTTTTCTCAGTCTACTGGTGGGGCCCTTTCCACCTACCACTAAGCCTTGGTAAGATCATCTTGTGGCCTTATTAGCTCTTGCTTGTTGGTGAAAAGGGAAAGTGCCCTGGGTGTGACTGGCTGATCCGCCTCCTCCGCAGTCCACCTTCCTGCAGTGATCGTTGGGGCAGGCAGGAACAGGAGAGTTTGACGCTCGTTCTGTCAAGTTCCTGGATTGATTCTTTATGTCTTACAAGAGTTTACTGGCCAAAGCATACATAACTCCTTTTGGTCGTCTGTCCTCACCTGCCTCTCCCTCTTTGTTCCCCTGCTCAGGTCACTGCCTCTGTCTCTGTCCAGGTGCAGCCCTCTGGAGCTGTTGCGTAGGGCACTCTTGCACTCCCTTGCTCTTCTCCCATCTCCCAGCCTCACCCAGCTGTCTTCTTTTCCAGGCTAGGGTCTTCTGTTCACAAGTGTCCCTCACCCTGGATCTCCCTTCTCTCGTTCACCAGGCTCCTAGGCTAGCCGCTAGGTCTCTCTGCTCCTGTAGTATTTCTTCAGCTCTCCTCTGCTTTCTGCCCCCTAGATGCAGTGTGTCCCCAGGGTCCTGAGTGGGTTTTCTTGAGGATAAGGTAGGATGGGAAGAGGCAGGAGAGAGGAGGCGCAGTACTGATCTCAGCAGAAGACCCCTGCTTGGTGAAGGTCTGGCCTGCCTGGGAAATTGGTGTCTATTGCTCTCAGCCATTCTTACTGTGAGGAGTTAGGTTACAGGGGGAGAAATTCATCCCTCTTGTCCCTCTTTCTTCCTCATTAAGACTTCTCATCTTCCTTTGGCTCTGAACTATGCAGTTTCTACCAGGGCCATAGGAAGCAATCCAAAGCCAGAGGCCTGTGGATAGATAGGTCAGCTTTAATAGCCTGTCAGTATGAATCCCTTCCAGTTGTCCCAGAGCCACCTTCTGCCATCTGCCCAAGCCAAGAATGTCCTTTTCTCCCTCTCTCCTACCTCCATCTTAAATTTATGTACAGAATAACTGCCAGCTTCCTTTCTTACTTTGTCTTCCAGAATTGGCTGTCATAGGGGGAATGAGGGAACATTCTAAGCTGCAAGATTCCCATCTTCTCAGATGATACACTGGTGAGCCAGGCAGAGGACATGTTCTATTGCGTCTGTTTTAATTTCCCCTCCTGCTTTTCAGAGCCGGTGCTGAGCAAGACACACACCTGGTGAAGAGAAAGGAGAGAAAACATGATTTTCTCATCCTCTACCACCCGGGACCCAACAGGAACAGCCCCTGAGGTGACTCAGTCTAGCAAATGGCATGGCAGATGGTCAGGATGCCACTTACCACCTCCAGGGACTTCATTTGCCTTTAACAGTTCACAGCCATAACTTGTACTCAGGACTTTTCCTTTAGACAGCTGCGCCCTGGGACTTCTGCTTTAGTTGTGTTTCATTTTTTACTTTCTTGATTTCCCACCAGCAGCCTTGCCCTAAAGCTTGACTGAGTTTATGGCTCCTAAGGAGCCTTCATAAGACCCTTGACTATTTTTCTTCCCCCTTTAGTCAAGTGTTTTTCAAGTTAAGAATCCTTTTGTCACTGCACACAGCCCTGCCTTACTGCTTGGCCTTGGAGGAAGTTTTGAGTCCTGTCTGTCTGTCCCTGGGTAGGATAGCTGATTGATTTAGAGGGTCTTATTTAGTTTCTTAGTCCCCACGTCTCATTCTCTTGAGTCCTTACTTCGTTTTCATTGGTAGGAAGTTATTGGGGACCTAAATGAGGGGCACTGCCAGAACCTAGGTAGTAAAGCAGTAGGAAGGGGCAGGACAGAACCTCCTAGATCGCTCTTTAGTTGGTCCGTGGCCTCACTAAGAAGGCAGAGCAGTTGCTTATCCTGAGACTGTCATAGTTAAGGGGAATGTCACTTACCTTGTTACTGCTGCCAGCCCTGTGGCCACTCCCCCTGCCCTCTGCTTTCCAAACTCATCTGGACCAGAACCAAACATCATGGAGGGTGTCACTTAGCCCTTCTTACTGACCATGGCCTCTCTAGGGGCCTAAGGGAAGATACTTTCTGAAAGGATATGGGAGTATGGATGCCTTGGGACTCTTCTGAGTGAACACAAGACTCCGGCCTCCTGCCTCATCTGAGGGACACAGCTGGTAGATAACCAAGGCCGTAGAGAAAGGTACCAGACCAGGTCTTGCGTCTTGCAGACTTTGCCCTAGTCCTTTCAAAGAAAGCTTGCTCGGAGTTGAAAAGTCTGGGAAAGCTTCCCTCACTGCTAAAGAAAGCTAGAAAAATAGGCCCTCCCTTACTCTTTCCCTGTTGGTTGTACACCCCAAATCTGGCTTCCTTCAGCCTCCACTCCTCTCCTTGGCCCTTAAGCACTAGACCATATACTCTTGGTAGTGGTAAACAAGGAGATGGCCTCACTGAACTTCTTTCACCTTGCCGCCTTCCCTGTGCCTGTTCTGTTGTTCTTGGCTCCTATCCTGATTCACTGCCCTCCGGCACCACCCATCCTGGTTGACGGGGTACTTAACTATAACCATGCCCTGTCTATAGCCCTGAACCACCAAGCAGACACCAAAATATTCCTCCTGTGGTTTCTGAGGCTCCCGTGCTCCACACTGAGAGCTCCTTTAAAGGTGCTAGCCCTGAGACCGCCCTTCCCCCCGAAAGCTCCCCCTTTCTTTCATGACTTCCCATCCCCAAATCATTATTTTTCATTAATATTGTACATTGTATACACAGGAAGGAAATGTATTCTTTTTTTTCTTTAATTTCATAACCAGTCCGTTTAGAATCCAGTCCTCCTAGTTATATCACATATGCCTTTGTTGATATGCTCTTTCTGCTTTCTTTAGACTTTTGTTTGAAGGGGCGGAGGGAGGAACAGGGACAGGTGAGGATCCTAAGGCAGAGTAGAGGATCCCCCTTCCTACTTCAGCCTCCCACAACCCTAACCATCCCTCTCATAGTATAGAACTGATTTCTCTCTGTTTGTGTTTGCACACATGCATGCACACAGACATAAATACCCACCCACCCCTGAGTGGTGGCCCAGCAGGAATTAGCATCAGCTGCTGGCCACCATTCCCACCTTCTGTTACCAGGTCTTTTGTCACTCTTTGGGGTAAAATGCTACCCCAGATTGAGAAAAGGCTGGGGAGAGTAGGGCAGGTTAAGGCGGCTATGTCCTCTGTAGGTGCAGGTTTGTATTTAGCTGCTAGGGTTTATTTTATTTTTTTAATGGGGAGCTGGTAGCACAGAGCTATCTCACCACCATTAGCTACTGGTGAGTGCTGTTTCAGCTGTAAGAAATGACTAGGAGCACTAGTTTCATTGGCTTTCCCTTAGGGTGGTGGGTCTCAGAATGTGGTCCAGGACCAGTACAGCACCAGCAGCACCAGCATCTGGGAGCTTGTTAGACATCACATTTGGGCCCCACCACAGACCTAGTGAATCAGAAACTCGGGCTGGGCTCTAACAAGCACTCCACGTGATTCTAATGCACACTAAAGTGTGAGAACTATTTCCTTAGGGGCAAGCTGGGACATCCTCGTAGAGTGTCGGGGATATTTTAAGTACCATCCTCTGCCTGAGCACTAACACATTTTTCCATTTCCTCCAGTCCCTCTCTCCACCCCCATCAAAACAACAACCACGTCATTCATCTCAAAATCTAGGTTTGTCTTCCTTCTACTTCCTCCTAAAACCTGTCCTGCCTTGGTCTGGACAGGAATGGTCCCATATTCCCTTGCAGACTGGTCACTCCACATTCTTTGTTACAGGAAGGACCAGCTGGAGCTCTAGCTGTCCTGTACACACACACACACACACACTGTCCTGTACACACACACACACATACACACACACACACTGTCCTGTATACACACACACACACACATCTACACACCCCTTTCCGGCAGGGAGATGAGCCTCCAGCCCCAACAGTTGAGGCTGCTGCCTCCTTACATAGTATGTTAAAAGAAAGCAGTGTGTATCTATGGTTATATCTCTGTTCATCTGTATATCTTTGACATGTAGCAACGCCTCTCCATCTCATCAAGAAACTCGACTCTGGGTCTGGGTCTCCCCCAGTCCCCAGTGGTGGACTTTGACATGTGGGAGGATGTAGTGCTACAGGCTGTTTTGTTACAAAACTGTCTTGTCCCTTTCCCTGCCACCCAACTCAGCATGATCCCTGTGAGCAGGCTCTCACAATCTCCTGGGACGGGCTGAGGCAGAGGCTTCATTCTCTCCTCCCTTCTCCTCCCTTCTCCCATCCCCCTTACCACCCAGCAGTTATCCCCCCAGCCATGCCTTCTCCCGCTCCCCCTCGCCCTGACATATATTGTGCCTTATTTATGCTGCAAATATAACATTAAACTATCAAGAGAACCACTGTTATGTCTAATGCTTCAGTACTCTCATCTACAAGTCCCATTGGCTGCTCTTTCTGGGAACTCATTGGGCTTTCATGTCTGTGCTCTTCCTTGCTCTCCCATTTCTGAGGACAGAAGGAGCAGGGATTCTTACCCCTCCTTTTTATGCAGGGAAGACACAGCCTAAAGAAGGTAGGTGGTTTATATAAATTACGGAACATGAAAGAAGGCACAGAGACCAGGGCTCATATTTGTGCACTGCCCTGGGGACAAGGGCCCTCGGCATCCTGGGAGCCTCATTGCAGAACTCGTGCGCTTTATGTGGATAGGGGATTGGTAGGGTGTCTGAAGGCAGGCGGCCTCTTCTCTTTCAGTGTTCTGTCCCCTCCTTTTTCCCCAACAATAAAAACAAAAGCTCTACTCTCAGGAAGTTTCTGGCATGACTGGGGGAGTGCACACATAGAAACAGAAAGTGAAGCTTTCTATGATTCTGTCAGTTCTATGGATGTGGGGAAGAGCTTGTTTAGAAGCAGGTAGGAGTCACAAGAAAAACAGGTAATGGTCAGGAACTATGGCGAGGGGTAGGGCAATCTGTATCCCTAGATAATTAGCACAGGTGAGAAGAGTGAGCCAGGCTGAAGAACTTGACCACCTGACCAGGAGGTAGCAGGCACCTCTGAATTTTTCCCAATAGGAGAGGAGTGATACAGAAGCTGTTTGCGGTTGGTGTTTGCAATAATTGACACAAGTAGGGAAACTGAGTCTCCGTAGGACAGTGGGAAAGGGAGTGGTGATCTTCACTGTGTTGTGGTCAGGAGCACATGGGTTTCCAGAGAAGGGTAAGAAAAGTATTTCTTTGGTATTTGGCTTTACCAAAGCCAAGATTGAGATGTTTTGGAAGAGAGGAGACTGAAGGTAGGGTAGTTTCCCAAGTTCTAGAATAATTAACCCATTCCCACTGCAGGCCTATCTTGTTTTATTGCAACGTCACCTTATTATGCTTTGCAGATAGCGCGTTTGTGTGTGTGTGTGTTTTGTTGTTTTTACAAATTGAAGGTACAAGACTTCAGTGGAGGAAGTAACTATAGTTGTGGAAATAGCAAGAGAACTACATTTAGAAGTAGAGCCTGAAGATGTAACTGAATTGCTGCAATCTCATGATAAAACTTGAACAAATGAGTTGCTTCTTATGGATGAGCAAAGAAAGTGGTTTCTTGAGATGGAATCTATTCCTAGTGAAGATGCTGTGAAGACTAGAAATGACAAAGGATTTAGAATATTACAGGGGCACCTGGCTGGCTCAGTCAGAAGAGCATGCGACTCTTGATCTCACAGTTGTGAGTTCCAGCCCCACGTTGGGTGTAGGGATGACTTTAAAAAAAAAAAAAAAGTATTACAGAAACTTAGTTGATAAAGCAGCGGCTGAGTTTGAGAAGTTTACTCCAATTTTGAAAATTCTATGGGTTAAAGCTGTGAAACAGTATCACACACTACAAAGAAATCGTTTGTGAAAGAAAGAGCCAATCGATGTAGCCAACTTCATTGTCAATTTTAAGAAATTGCCACAGCCACCCCACCCTTTAGTAACCACCAATCTGATCGCTCAGCAGTGAGCAACATCAAGGCCAGACCCTCCACCAGCAAAAAGATTATGACTTGCAGGGTGCCTGGCTGGCTCAGTCGGTAGAACATGGGACTCTTGATCTCAGAGTCCTGAGTTCAAGCCCCACATTGGGTGTAGAGCTTACTTTAAAAAAATTTTTTTTAACAACTTGCTAAAAGCTCAGATGATAGCATTTTTTAAGTAATATTTTATTTTACGATTTTATTTGAGAGAGCAAGCGAGAGCAGGGGGAGTGGCAGAGGGAGAGGGAGAAGCAGGCTCCCCGCAGAGCAGGGAGCCCGACGTGGGGCTCGGTCCCAGAACCCTGGGATCCCAACCTGAGCCGAAGGCAGACGCTTAACTGAGCCACCCAGGCGCCCCTAAGCAATATTTTTAAATTAAGGTATGCACATTATTGTGTGTTTATTTTCAGATATGCTATTGCACACTTACTAGGTTACAGTATAATGTAAACATAACTTTTATATGCGCTAGGAAACAAATTTGACTCTCCTTATTGTGTTACTTGCTTTATTGTGGTAGTCTGGAACTGAACCAGCAATATCTCCGAGGTGTGCCTATACCTACCAAAGGAGAGAGCGGCCCCCTCCCTTCTGGACATAGGAAGTTAGCTAGACCCTTGCTGAATTGAGCCTCAGCTCAGGTCCACTTGTAATTGATGATCAGAGATACCAGGAGAGTCAGGGTGGCAAACATTTATTAGCTGCTCTGTGCTAGATGGAACACTAGATGCTTTGTATTCATTAGGTCATTTACTGTTCTTAGCAACCTCTTGATAAACAGGAATAGTTGCCTCATTTAAGATGAGCTGAGGTTTAAGTTAAGACATTTGCTCAAGGCACATGGTGGTGTGCAGGAGCTGGGATGAAAACAGCTCTGTCTGAGCCCAGAGCCACTCTGTGCAATCTAGAGGCCCACACCCCTTCACAACCCTGCTCCTCTGGACTTCTGTCAGGGGAGAACAGAGAAGTGGTACAGGATCCATCTCCCACAGAAAAACCCATCTGCCCATGGACTGGATCGTCCCTTTTAAGCAGCAGTGAAATTCCAAGATGTAGTGATGAGGAGCGTCAGGTTCTGTGCTCGGGACCAGCTGGGGGACAAAGCATACAGAAGGGTTCACCCTAGCTTAGGCTGGATTAGTATCTAAAACATCCAGATGGAAACCCGCTCTAACCTACCTATCCAAAGTTAGAAATTGGTTTCTAGATGCCTTGCTTTAAAGGGAGCAGGGATCCCCTTAACAAGAGACGACTAGAGTGGAAGAGGGACATCTGTCTTCAAATACGTGAAAGGCTTGCACACATGAAAGATGTGCAATGTTCCGTGACTTAATGGGGCAAACTGAATCCCATGGTGGAGGCCACAGGAGATGGAAGACAGCTTGGTGCCCGGATAAATCTGCCCCATCACTGTCTCAGCAGATGGAAAGTTCGCTGGGGCTCGTGTGTGCAAGAATCAGCACTGCTAATGTTTTGAAGACGCTTGCTCTGTGCCAGATCCTGTGCTGAGCGGATTACAAAAAGTATCTCAAATAATGCTTTACCCTAGAAAGTAGTTCCTTTTAATGTTGCCATGTTCTAGGTGAAGAAACTGCAGTTTAGAGAGCTTGCTTGCCCAAGACTGATCCACAGGCTCTTGACGCCATGGCACCTCTCCAGCATAGGCTAGAGAACCACACTGGGGGCGGCAGGGCGGGGGGTGGGGGGGCAGTGATGGCTAAGGAAGGGATTCTAGGATCAGAAGGAAAACCTCCTCTCTTGAGGGAAAATGATTTTTTCCTAAAAAGGCAAGATTCTTGTCGCCTGCCCTAACTGGTCAGAACCAGGCAGAGGCTGGGGTGACTAGAAGGAGGTGGATGAAGCCAGATACCAACCCCAGGATCCTGCCCCTGCCTTTCGGGGACCCCTTAGAGTCAGGGCGTTAAGAACCTCCATCTACCGTCACCCTTCAAAGAGCAGAGAAAGGAAATGGCTGGCTCTGACAGTGCAGCGCTGTGGCCACAGGGTGGCAGCAGTGCTTCAGCCGCAGAGGCTGGCTCCAGAAGCCTGGGTGAGGCAAGGGCTCTCCTGTGAACATGGGGTTTGTCTACAAAGATTGGAAGCGATCCCCACTTTCTGTGAGCTCTGAAACCTTTTAGTCTCCTTCTATATCCCACTTTTCTATCCACAGGCAAATCCCAGAGGAGTGATTCCATTTTTAACCCAAGGCAGACATCGGCAAGGGTATGAATGGTCTGGATGACCCTGACTGCAGCCACAGTCACAAGAGGGACCAGGCTGGGTCATCCTGGCTCGCTGTAACCCTGTGGCTCTTCCCGCCTTCCCTCTGTTCCAAGACATAGTGCCTAGACCTTCTTGACAGGACTTCCTTTATGCTTTTATTCTCCAAGTTAGGAAAGAGAGTTGATCAATTGGAGCTCTCCAACCTGTTGAGGAATTGGGGGTTCTTGAAGGCCCCCAGGGCCTGACTCTGACAAAGCGTCTGCAATTAATGATACTTCTTGAGCTCTGGAGACAGGATTTATGCATCTAATAAAGTCTGTAACTCCAGGCTTAGGGGCTGGAGGCCAGAGGCTGGGAGCAGGAAGTCCCGGGAGTACCATGGGAGGGGATCCCAGGTGGCTCCTAATGGAGCGGTGCCTTTCCATCGCCTGCTCCAGATTCCCCCTCAGACTGCTGCGGGGTGGGGGGACTGGGCCACAGCAGAGATAAGAGGCGCGTATGGCTGCGGGAAGGCGGATGGCAGCATGGAGTCCGGGCGAGCCGCAGTGCTGCTGCTGGTGCTGCTGCGAACACACTGGGGCTGTGCCGGGGGACCAGGGCACGGAGGCGAAGGAGACCAGGTCTTCGCAGTAAGTTACCACCCCATCCCCGTGTCACCATTTCTCTTTGTTTTTATTTTTTAAAAGATTTTATTTAGAGAGAGAGACAGTGGGAGGAGGGGCAGAGGGCAGGGAGAGAATCTCCAGCAGGCTCCACGCCGGGTGCAGAGCCCAACGTGGGGCTCGATCCCACAACCCTGAGATCATGACCTGAGCCGAAATCAAGAGTCGGCCGCTTACCCGACTGCGCCAACCAGGCACTCCCCCACCCCACCCCCCACGTCACCATTTTTCTATCTCGGCTTGAGACTTGTGCTCTCAGTTCAAATACTCTGGCTGCCAGGATCTTCAGTGGGTCCTCACATCCGAGGAAGTGGCTCCTCGGCCTCCTACAACTGGCCTCTGGAAGTCACTCCTTTCCCCTTGTGAACTAAATGTCCAAGGCCTTTGCCCATCTTCCCTCCCCAATGCCCCTGAACCACAGGAGGAAGATAGCGGACCCCACCCACTGCAGGAGGCCCAGATCCCTGTGTCACTCTTGCGCTCCCTGCTCCAGGCCATGCAGAGACCCAGCCAGAGCCCAGCCTTTCTGTTTCAGCCCCAGAGGTGAGTCTAAGAGGGCCATGGGCAAGGCAGGAGCCAAAGGGGAGGGTGGGGGCTCGAGAAGGGAGGTGCCAAAAGGACCTACAGTTGAAGACAGATCTCTCCCCAGGTTTGGCAGAACCTACCGGGGCTCCTGGAGCAGCAAAGAGCTGAGTCCCCGAGCTGGGGAGGGGTTCAGCTCCCCCTTCTGGAGCCTGGCTGCCCCTCAACGCTTTGGGAAGAAGTGACACGTCATCCCTTGATATGTTTGCATGCGAGGCTCACAACTATAAGTGCCATGCCTCCCCTGGCCACCCCCCGCCCCCAATAAAGCTGTCTGGCTTCTGAATCCACCTGTCTGTCTGTCTGAGACTTGAAAGGGCGGGGAGAGAGCCCCAGGGCAAGAGCCACAACCCCTCCGTCTCCGCCAAACCAAGCTCTGCAGGGACTCAGGTGATGGGATTCCTGGAGCTCACTGCACCCAGCCTCCCGCCACCAGATAAGGCAAGCATGGGACATGTGGGGAACAAGGTGGGGAGGCACAACAGGGGAGGTGACCTGGTGCTAACCTCCCCTGCCATCAGCACTAGGCAAGGGAACAGAAAGAGCAAGGTTTCAGAATGCAAGAGGCAGCGCATTTATTCTGGGCTCTAAGGGAGAGCCCCCTGGTTTCATTCCCACTCATCACCACCAGTGCCATGAGGACGGATCTTGGGCCAGCCAAAGCCCTGTGGTCCCTGGCTCCTGGGCCAGTGTCCTCCTCAGCCTGCAGGCAGGCAGTCTGTGTCAGAGGTAGAGATGGCACCTCCAGGGGTACCAGAGCTGAACAGACTCACGGGCTGGGGGAAGAAGAGCAGGGAGCAAGGACGTCTGTCCGTGAGTCCAGCTGGGGCTTTACTTGCTGCCCGCCATGATCTTGAGGTACTGCAGGGCACGGCGAGCAGCCTCACCACGGGCTGCCTCCCTGGTCGTTGCAGAGCCATGACACACGGTCGCCGGCTGTGTGGACAGCTCCACCAGGCACTGGCAGAGCCCGCTCAGGCTCAGTTCCTCTGGAGACCAAAAGAGGACAGAGGCAGGGTTGGGCGAGAAGGCAGCACCAGGACGGGCGCATCCACATCATCATCGTGCCCTCCCCAACCCCCTTCAGGCCCATCTGTACTTGCTCTGGCTCAGTCCCCACCATCCCCCGGCCTCCCAACTAGCCATACCAATATCCAGGTAGCTGACATGGAAGGCCTGTTCCTCAGAGAGCTCACTAAGAACACTGCAGCAGGCAGGACCCAGAGCACCTAAGGCGCCCAAAGAGCAGCTGCGGAGGGACAGGATCTTCTCTCCTACTGAATTTCGCAGAGAATCCCAGGTGCAGCCTGGGCCCCGGTTCCGAAGTCCATCCAGGCGGGAGCCCACACCCTGACAAGATGGGGACAGTGAGAGAGATGCAGCCATGAGCCAAGACCCAGGCCTTTAACAGACATTCGAGACCAAGGAGAGAAAAGCCCACAGAATGAATGCTTCGTCCAGCTCGCCTTCCCCTAGTTGGCCCCCTCTAACCACTAGAGTCTGGACCAGGTGTCCAGGCAGCCTTCCTCATTCCAGCAACAGCAGGCCCCACGGCTCCTGCCCTGGACAAGCTCCCCACAGCACTCACCCGGCAGGCCAAAGCTGAGGCTGACAGGGGGCCCAAGGAACTCTGGGTCTGGTAGGAAAATGGGCAGGAGCTGGCCTGGGATCTGGAGAGGCTCACTCCCGAGTGACAGGCCCAAGTCCCCAGTGCCCTGCCTGGCATGGAGGATGGACCACAGGGCCTGGCCCACACAAGCCACTCACAATGGAGAAGTGGTCGTCATCGGGCTCTGCCTCATTCCCATCCCGGGCATCCAGAGGCACCGTGTGCACCCGAAGTAGCATTTTGGCGGCTGCGTTACGCTTTGCCAGCTTTTTGGAAGTGCCGCTGCCTGCGTGTGGGGAGAGGGTTGCTGGATTATGATTCCTAACAGGCCCAGTGCTTTCCACCCAGCTCGAACTTGGGTTGAGGGTCCCCCATGGAATGTCAGTTGGAAAGAGGAACTCAGGACCTGCCATGCAGCTAAGAACCTGGTCAGCCAGTGGGGGGCGGGGAGGCCAGCACAAGGAAGGAGCTAAGAGGAAGGAGCCGAGCTGGGGGTCTCAGCCCGGAGAGTGGGGCCGTAGCAGAGAGAGGCTAGGAGCTGCCTGTGGCCAGGGCTGGAGTAGCTGCAAGAACTCCCCTTGGCCCAGTTACCAATCTCAATGAAACGCTCCACTCGGCAGGTCATGGTAAACTCTTTGCGGTGGGCTGGCCCAGACTCTTGGGTCACCGTGTACTCAGGCAACCGCCAGCCTTTCTGCACCACCAGCTCCTTGGAAGGGAGAAACAAGGGTGCACAAGGCAGAGTGAGAAACGACTCCTCACATCCTCTCCCTCCTACCCTGGGAGCCTCAGATTCCAGGTTAGAGGAGGAATGAAGGGGGCTGGGAAAAGCCCTCAGAACAGGATAAGAGTCCCACATAACCGTCCCTCACAGCCCCAGGTTCAAGGGAAGACAGGCATGCACAGGAAATGAGGATGGGGGCACACCTGCAGAGCGCCAACAGGATTGCACTCAGACTGCTGAGGGGAGACGGGGGGCTGCACCTCCATGGGGGGGCTCCTGAAGGAACAAGCGTCCAGGGCCAAAGCTGATGGGGCTGTCCCTTTTGTGGCTGCCCATGAGTCCTAAGCCCTGCCCTGATGTCCCCACTACCATCTCCCTAGTCCCTGCCAAGCAGCGAGCTGTCTATCCAAACATCCAGGCTGCTTCCTCCCTTTCCCACCCAAGTGAGGTCTCTTCTAGGGCCCAGGCCCACTGAGATTTTCTGGAAACGCTGGATCATCACCTTGCCAGGACAGTGGGAGAGGGGCTGTATATCCAGTCCCTGGAAGCACCTGATGGGAGGCACACACAGGATGATCATGTGACCAACTCAGAAGAAAATGGGGCCTGCAAGACCCTTAAACATGGTCAAACATCATCCCTGTGGCTATTTAAAAATCATAAATTACCTCCTGTCCCAAGAGCTTACCAACTGGTGCAAATTCTTCAAATTCTGGTCCCCAACTATTCCATCCTCTGTTTACTCTCAGACTTCCTCCTGGCCTGACCAGCCTGGGTCCAAGGGCTGGGGGGCCAGGAGCCAGGACCCCCTCCTCCCCCCTTCAGGCAGGCAAGAAATATAAGATACCTGGTTGGAACAGCAGATGGACCCGGAGTGGCAGCCGCTGCAGCAGTAAAAACTGGAATGTCCTCAGGCAGCGAAGAGTCTAGGGGAGAAAAAGAACTTCCCGAGGGGAAGGGGGCCTTTGATTCACACCCATGTTGGGGGTGGGGGGAGTAGAGGGTGGGGACCCAGGTCCTCCTGACCTGCCCGCTCCCTAAGAAAACTCCTTCCCACTGGAGCCAAAGACTCAGGGAAGCTTAACCACCAGCTTTTCCTCCTCGGAGCCTTTGCTGCCAAACACTGGATCAAGAAGACTGAGAAAAGGGGAGGAAGGGTCTCTTCCTACCCAAGAAACATGGAGGCAACAAATTCCAATGTGAGTATGGAAGAGGGAAGGACAACCTGCTAGAGAAAGGAGGCATGTCGGGGTGCAACCCCTCTAGCCTCAGCCTCCACCCCTTTCCCTCCCTAGCCTGGGCCCAAACCACAGCCACAGCCCCTTGACAGTCCCCCCAAAGGATCCTTCACAGCAGCAGGGGCCCTGGCAGCATCCTGCTCTGTCCAGAGGAGAGTCTCAGGAAGGGGCCAGGTCAAGGTGGCTAAGTGTCACCAGGCCAGGCCTCCTGGGCAGAGGAGGTGGCGCAGGGGCCTGGGTTCCTGGCAGGGCCTCTAGGAAGCCTCGGCTGTTCCTCCCTCACCTGCTGTCCTCCAGGGCCGGCTCCAGCATGCTCCCCCCTTTGAGGTGTTTGAGGGCCACCTCAGCTGCCTTGTGCTTGGCTGCCTTCTTGCTGGGGCCCTGACCTGAGAGAGGGGCGTGGGCAATACTGGAGGTCACTGGGAGGACAGAAGAAAAACCAGCATCCCACAGCTTCTCTCCTCATAGCTGGAGGGAGTCAACCAAGCCCCTCTCACCAATTGCCTCTGCCCAACACTGGAAGCGTTACACTAATTACTGGAAGGGGGGCTTTTATCTTCCCCAGAGCTCCCCAAATCAAGCCATGCCAGGCAGAACTGCCCCTGAGCTCAGACATCTTGGGTGGAGATTCTTTCTCTGCCTTACTTTCCTCTGGGAAGCACTTTCTTTTCTCTCAATAAATAGAGATGGCTGGGAAAGGGAGAAAGAGGGTAGGCTCTAGAGTCAGGGCCTGGCTCTGCCACTCCCCCTAGGCACGTGACCGTACACCACTCACTGAATCCCTCTGAGCCTCAGTTCCCTCATATTCAACATGAGGATACTACCATCTACGTCACTGGATTAGACTGTGGTTTAAGGTTAACTAGGAATTTGATCAAGCACCTGGAACAGAGCCCAGTGCAGCGGGCACTGACTCCCCCAACTACTTTACTGAGAATTCGGTTTATCTTTTCTTTCTCCTCCAGGATGATGACAATCTGCCAGATCACTGTGGCAGTCCTGCTTGCTCCTCTAACTCTCCCAAGTCCTACCCACCTCCTCAAAGTCCCGTTTTCCCAAACCAGTCAGTGGCTTTTCCCCTGAAATCTCTCCTTCCCTCACTGGCCTTGGAGAAAAGGACTGGGAAGAGACTCCAAGAAACAAAGCCAATAGGGCCCTGTGAATGCACACCCCAGCCAGGCTGCCCAAGCCTTCCTCACCAGTGCAGCTGGTGTCGCCAACGGTGACCCGGAAGGTGAAATTAGGCTGGTGGGCTTGGCCCTCGGCTTTGAGAAGGTCGTACACGGGCGTCTTCCCTATTCTGGTCCCATACTCCTGCAGAAGGCTGATCGGGGTCTTGCCCGGGTTGGCCGCCAGCATTTGCTCTATACTGGGGGAGGCGGGGGGCACAGACCCTTATCACACCTCCAATTCTGCACCCACCTGGCCAAGCACTGTCATATCAGACCCAGGCACACTATGGGGGACATAGGGTCCAGGGGACCCCGGACAGTACAGCAGACATTGGCTGGATTCAATGTGGAGTAGAGATTCAGGCTGGGAAAGCAGGGTCCACTGCCCCTGGAACAAGCGGGGGACACTTGTTCCTGTCTCAGTTAAGAAGGAGGATCCTGT